TGTCACATTTGACCAATATTTGAAATGGGATAGGCAAATTCACACTATCTACAATATAATAAATCCACACTCATCTATTAAAACGCATACGCAGTCACCTTATTCTTAAATGTCGTCAAGACTAATTCTTGATTTACCAACCAAAGTACCCTCAATATTACTTTTCCACCAACTTAATTGGATACCTATCTTCAATTTGATCAAAATGAGAAAAATTCTTATGGTTTTTAATACTTTAAAAACTTCTTGGCATCCAGATCTTCGAAGGTTGTTTGTTTACGTTCGCGACTCTCATCCAATTCAAACTAGATCGACAACGACAGACTTAAAGATCACTTTAGTTAAGACCGAGCAAGCTAAATCTAAGATATCTTATAGTGGTGCAAGTCTCATCGCTAGAAATCGCGGACATTTTGAATACAGAGTGCATTTTCGGCCCAGTCCCCCTGTCCACTCATGCATTCAAATTTAATAAGGAATGTAGATGGTTATACAAATTTTACATCAAATATCGGTAAAGAATCATAACAAATTAAAATTGTGCACTGCTGAAACAAAATTCCGTGAACTAATCAAGCAAATAAGAAAAATAATTAAAACCAATCATAAAATGTCATGATTATTTACTATACGTAAAACTGGGCAACAACGGAATAACTGTACAGGCAGGATTTGTAACTAATTTTCCGAAATGGCAAAAATCCACCTTTTACAAAGTTATGCCACGGTCTAATGATCGATGAAGTTAAAAATGTGGGGTGAAATATAAAAAATATACACATATTAGTAGCCAAAACAATTGTTCGCATACCTTAATCTGTGGCGGCAATGATTATTTGTTTAATTCCAAGTAGTTTGCATAAAATCGAAGGTACATTTATTTGATACAATCATCATATACTAATCTTGCACTTTGACAATGACTTTTCACACAAAAAATTGCTCAAAATATATCATTTGATAGCTCTTTTCTTGTACTTTGTTTACATCTGGCAATCCTTTTAGTCAGCGGTAACTCCCCGTTTAGGAAACTTTGTTTATACCACTGATATTGCTCCGTGCACTGAGCCGAACACATTTGTCAAAAAGTAGAATATGCGATTATTGCGAGTATTGCTATTTATTTACTTGTTCTACTGTATTTTGCTGTACTATATATAAAAAGACAATGTCAGACAACCTTACTTGGCAGGAGCAACTAAAACTTAAATATGAAATACAGCTTAGTGAGGATTATTCTTGCTTACGCTACGTTGGATATCAAAGGTCAGGGAAATGTGTTGTTCTAAAAATTTCGATAAAAGTTTTGTTAAAATGGCGGGAATTAAAAATCAAATTTCCAGACATCTCCTACCAAGAGTTACTGGCTCTGAGTGCGTCCAAATTACCGATTAAAATCAAACCTGGTGTGAGCAGAATTGACGAAAGTATAAGGGTTATGGCATGTCAAGCATACACCAAAAGTAGAGGACTAAGAGGCCTGACCAGGAAAAACTTTCTTGAGAAGACAAAATCATTTCATGTTTTTTTTGATGAGTTACTGAATGTCAGCAGTCTTCAGAAAGACTTTGAAAAGTTGGAAGAAGAAAACAACAATCTTCGACAACAACTCCAGGATGTCGACAGCAGATGTGATGAACTTTTGCAAGATCTTTTAAAGGAGAAAGACAAGACAAAAACTGTTGAAATGGAGAGAGATCATGCCTTACTGGAGAACCAAGAGCTAAAAGAATACCTGGACTTTATTGAAGAAACAACTGTGTGTAGTAGCTGTAGTTCAAATCTGGAGAACACAGGGAAACCAGTTGGCAAAGTTGGGGAACGACAAAAGAGAAGAAAAGTAAAGGAGCTGAAGTCGAGAAGTGAGCAAGCACTTTGGTTCATGGAATCGTTTGGGTTTAAATTGGACTCTATCAAGATTGAAGATCTGGATGGCAAAGTAACAGAAATGAACTATTGTGAGAATGGTTGCAGTAGTAAGACTAATTTTCAACAGTTACCAGAGAATGATAAGACAACTATTAGAGCTCTACTATATATTATGGATAAGTGTTGTGTGGGCGATACAGCTTATCATGAAATGTCAATGCTGGTTGATGGTCTCCCAAGGAGCTATTTAATTAAGCAGTGTAGAAACACACTAAATTCAATCAGTCATATCACTCGCACACCAGGAAAACACCCAGGGGCTCAGATGAGTTTTAAAGAAGAACTAAGGGAACAAATTAGAAAGAAGGTAATATTTCCTACCACCATTTCTTGCCAGAAAACATGTGCACTTGCTTTGGTGAGGCCTAAATTTAGTTATTTTATAGATTGTAATGATAAATATATGTACTATTTTTATCAACTTTGTAGATACAGCTTGGAGATGTTGGAAAGCAAAAGATCAGGATTGCAGGTGATGGTGCAAAAATGTCCCGCATAGCTAATTTTATTGTGCTGTCATTTGCTCTCCTTTCTGATGAAGAAAAAGTAATGTCTTGGAAAGGTAAGAGAATGCTCTTGATAAGACCATGCCATCCATAAAAACTATCAAGTTTTTGAAAAGCATAAAAACAGTCCAGTTAATAATATCTGAGACACAGATATACTGGAATAATTGGCCTTAGATCTTGAATTAGTTCTTTCTTGTCTCAAAACCTACAGTACAGTAATTCCTGATTGTACACATCATACAGGCAACCATACTGTGGGAATAGTTTCCGGAAGTGAGGATTACGACGTACTAAAAGTTTCTTGCAGAGAAATCTTTGCTGAAATCAATGATCTGGTTGAGCATGGTGAAATTGAGGTGGATGGCCATCAAATACCTCTGGAATTTTATCTGTCTGGTGATTATAAGGTTCAGTAACATGCTTTCACCCTAACTTCAAAATCAATAATAGACCTTGTGCATAATGATGTCACAAGCTGTGATGCCTGCACGGAATTCTGGTTTTAGTAGTCAACACAGCAGGAAACATCAAACATTCAAAACTATGAATGACACTAAGTCTAGAATTTTCAGCAGGCATAACGCCTTGTGACGTCATTCTGCATAAGGTCTATTACGGTACATGAACTGGCAGTTGTACCCTTTCTGGATGAACTACATATCATACAAAAATAATGCATTCTTCTATATCTCCAAGTTTCTTCTTCTGGTTCTTGGAATGAACAACGCAATATCTGATTATGCATGCATTTACTGCTTGGTCCACAAAAATGAAAGGTACAAGCAAAATTTAGTTCAATACATGTATCTTAATTTTAAATTACCATACCGTACCAGTATTTGCAAATTTTATAAATCTTTATCTGTATATGCATTGAAACATAGATTCAATGCACTCTGATGCAATCTACTTTGTTATTTATTATTTACTAATGGGTTGAAAGCATCTTTGCTGATGCAGGTGGGATACATCAAAAGTAGAGGATTACTACCATAATAGTAAGAATACAAGAACACTTAGTAGCAACAGAACCATGGCCTGCAAGTCCTCATCGAACTATGGTTGCATCAGAAAGCCATTGCTCAGTATCCCAATTCAGAATGTCAGAATCGACGAACTTCATTTGCTTCTCAGGATAACTGGTACGGCACTATTCAATTGTAAATTGGTATGTGGATATTAACTGGTGACGTTCCTGGAACAGCCCAAAAGGAACGCAGGCTCATAACATAATGTAGACTTCTTTGTTCCTAACTCACAGACAGATAATGAATTCTACAACATACTGCACATGTTACTGTAACTGGCAACAATACATTGAGAATGTCCTTGGGCTGACTCTTCATGGCAGTAATGACTCCTTTTCCTTTTTCAGATATTTTAGAACGTAACATAATAAAACGATGCAATTGAGCGTGATGTTGAAGAGAACCTTAATAGAGCACCATCAGACAGGGAAAATAAACACCTACAAAATGTTGTTGAAGCCATCAATAACTGTGGTGTAAGCTTTAGTGTATGGAAAAAGAAGAACGCCGATGGGACTGACAGTGGAATGCATGACTGGACAAGCATGGTTGGCAATGAGAAGAAAAAAGTTCTTGCAAAGCTGCCTGCACAGTTCCCAAACATTCTCGAACCAAACCATTGTGATACAATTACAGAAATATGGCAGGTGTGTACATAAATTACATATTTCTCAACAACTTATTTCTTGATATACATGTATGTACTGTATTCATTTCCTAGGAATTTCGTGAACTATATGGAATACTATCATCATGGAAGCCTTCTGAGGCAGATATAGATGGATTTTTTGGGAAGGCAAGTAATACATTGTCTTGTGTTACTCACATGAGTAGGGTTTACCCTGTGCATAGTACAGGTACTATGGTACCTTACATTTACAATATATTAATTGTACTAAAATAACTGTTGTGTGTGACTGTACTGAGACATTTTATATGTGCATGTAAATGGTGAAGGTGTTTTTTTTCATTGATTTTTCATAGGCCAAGAACTGGGTAGAGCTATTCCTGTCTCTTGGTGGAAAAGTGATGGGCTATGAAAAGGCTAGAATAACACCATATATACACATATTGCTTTATCATGTACCCAGATTCATCAAAGATGAAAAATCTTTGAAATCATTTACTGGGCAAGGAATTGAAAAGATTAATGATGTGGTTCGGGCAATTTATCATAACAAAAGCAACCGGCATGATGCTTGCAAAGAGGCAATACTGGCGCTTCGAAGAATTGATAATCTTCAGAATTTTGAACGAATCCCACACCAATACAAGAAACAAGACAATACCTATTGGTCAAATGAAATATTTGAGCAGAGAAGAAAAAAACCGCGTCTTTGTGTAGATCCAAGAGAAGACGAGAACGATCAAGATCAATTAACCCCACAGGATGTAGACAGCATGAGTTTATGTGAAGTGAAAGAAAAACTAAAAGAAATGAAAATAAAAACAAAACTACGAAAGCTTGACAAATTGAAGGAACTTTTAAAAAGCACCATTTTGGGTGCTGCATGCACCTAAGTACAAGTACAAGTGTACAACTATATTTTAAAGTGTCTCGGCACTACATGCTCGTCTTGAGAAATGAATTTTAGCTTTCTCAATGGGCATTCTCTTTGCTTGAATCAGTTCTCCATTTTGAACAATGTAACGTTTTGGTGACCACAATAATAGAGGTTTTATTTTAATTGGAAAGTTTATTGCTCTGCCCTCGCCATTGCTATCAAGGTAATACCACCATGTTTCCTGTAGATTCAAATTGCAAAACTCATGTTTCTCATACAATTTATAACCAAGATGTTCAGATTGAACTCCCTTTCCTTTCCAAAGCCATCTTTGTAAATCAAGGTCAATCTGAGCATCTACAGGAGTAGCAGATTTCGCTTTAAGAGCCCTTGCTATGGCATCATAAAAACTTCTACTAGCTTGCTCAATTCTGCCTTGATCTGGCTTTGATGGATTTTCATAGCTCCTAAAAATGCATGAAGAGAAAAAGACAACATACATTACTGAACGCAAGCATTTTGCTACATGAATTAATGCACTAGTACAGTGTAATCATGTATTATTGAATGGTAAACAACATCAAAATTAGAGAACTTGTTATCGAAAAACATTAAAGTTGTGTCTGTGCTGACAATTTTACATGCAAACAGCATTGGATCATCCATGTTGAAATAATTGCTGTTTGTGTTTTAAAAGTTTTCTGTGATTTATAAAATCAAAATACATTAGGTGCACCTTGTAAGCAACATAAGAAATAGTTGCTTAAAGAACTTTTTTTTAAGGCTATGTTACACGATGCAATTTTCTTTGCCACTTGCATTGCAATTCTGGAGTAGATGCATGTTATGTATAAGTACTTTCTGAGAAGAACTAAATGCATTTTTGGCAGTATCGTATTTAAATAAACCAGTACGTACCGTAAAAGCGCTGGATTCAAATGATCGTAGGGCTCCCAACTTGATGCAGGCAAAGGCCATCCAGACCACTTTACCAAATAATGCCAAGTCTTTAAAATAGATTTAAAAGTATGCCTATCTTTAGCCCGTCAACATACATTTTAATGAATTTATACAACAGTAGAAGACCTACATTATGAAATGCAAATTAGAAATGGATAAAATTTAGCATAAATAAACTTACATGATCAATTTGCTTTCGAGAAATAAGTCTATCAACTGGAAAAAACTTTCCTTTTGGCTTCTTTCCGCTTTCATACATAACTTCCGACGATAAATTGTTCAAATTTACATAATCAACTGGATTAGCTCTTCGTGCGGCGGACGCCATTTTGAAATGAGAATAAGGAGGCCTGGGGATCGAAAGGGATAATAACCAGTATAGACTTAAGGGATGTATCGGGATTTAAATGTCCGCGATTTCTAGCGATGTATTCAATTCTTTACCTCCTGAGTTAAAAATCGTTGAAAATTATTTACCTAATGTTATAAAAAAAAGCTTAAAACCTTTTTTCTTCAATTAAAAAATGAAGTAGACAATATTAATAAATTTAGCTGTATCGTATGCAAGCATATCATTTGTTGCCAATGTTTCTTGCGATGAAATCTTTTACATTACCTCCGAGGGCCATTGGGAAGAATACCTTAAGGTAACAGTGTAAATCCCTCATGAAATAAATTATATATATATATTATATATTATATATATATATATATATATATATATATATATATATATATATATATATTTATTTATCACATACTTGTGCCTTTATCAGGGCGATAACAGGGTGACAAAAAAACGATGTCCTCACTGATATCGCTTTTTGTCCCACATTTAACAGATTCGCCTTTGTTTAATAAGTCAAAAGAAGCCCTTAAAGCCAAACAAAAAGAGCTCAAAAGCTTTGGGAAAGGAAGCAAACCAAATGCAGCCCGTTCGCTTACTGATCAAGAAGTTGATTTACTGTATGAGAGTGGTGAATTTGGTACCCACAGTGCCCATACACTTGTCAACATGCTTTGGTGGAATAACACTACTCAGTTTGGTTAGCGAGGTTGCCGAGAAAATCGAGATCTTTGCTGGGGAGACGTAAACCTTAGAAAGGATTCTGCTGGCGTCGAGTTTCTTGAATACACTGAGCGCCAGACAAAAACAAGATCTGGAGAGAATCCCCTGGACTTACGGAAAGTTAAACCCACCATGTGGCCATGTTCTGATCTAAAGCGTGATCCCATTGCAGCCTACAAGAGGTTTGCTGAGGAACGTCCGCCAAAAGCTTGTGGCCCAGATTTCCCATTTTACCTTGGCATTGATCATAACAGAAATCCCAAATACTGGTTCACAACACAACCAATGAGCAGAAACACAATCAACAACTTGATGAAAACAATGTGTATGAATGCTGGAATAATTGATGAAGAGCACAAACTCAGTAATCACTCAGCAGGTAAAACAATGGTTAAGAAATTGAAGGAAAACCAAATTCCTGATACCAATATTATACAGGTACAATATTTAATATTTTGGTGTTTTATCAGTGTACTAACAACCCAAAGTTTGAGCCCATCCATATCCCAAATTATATAAATATATAGCATTTATGTTGTTCATGCACTGAGAAACTACTAATATCTCTCTCCAATTAAAAAAGATATATTACTGAGTTACTATAGTAAAAAAACTAAGTGAAGTTATCATATTTAAGGTGACTTGTCATAAGAATTTGATGAGTCTGAACACATATGATGAGCTTTCAAATAATTGCATGAGAAGAATGAGTGGTATACTTTCTGGTGGTGAAAACAAAAAAGCAACCGGCCCTATTTCTCGCAATAGTGGTGTATCAGGTCTTCTGCCAGGTTCTACTATTTCTGGTGGGACCTTTAACATCACTGTTAATGCCTGTCAGTCATCTACATTGTCACCAACGTGGTCCTCGACAACCAACATTCAAGCAGCAAAGCGAAAAAGAGTGATACTTGAATCGGATTCAGAGGATGATTGACTTTACACGATAAGTTTGTTTTTAATTTGTTAATTTAAGTACTATCTGACAGTAATCTATTCCAACTGCAACCATTCTTTCATAGGCTTACAGGAGATGAGTTATGGGAAATGCGAGCCCGTAAGCCAAGGAATAACAGAGGCGACGTACCAGTCGTTTTGGGGGGGATCGGGTGGGGTAAAAGACAAACTACTCCGCTTTAGAACTCATTGTAAATGAGATTTATTATATGTAATAAACAAGTTTAATAATAACACCTTCACACAAAATTACTCAATATCACATGTCCCTCTTAATAATTGCCAAACTATGGCCTTACCCCCTTAAATCGACCACGCTGCACCCGAGAGCGTCTCGTTTAACAAACTGACCCAGAGTAGGCGTACACTCTGTCTTTTATATCCTATGTTACGCATGGTTGCACTTAGAATAGTAATCTATTCCAACTGCAACCATTCCTCCATAGGCTTACAGGAGATGAGTTATGGGAAATGCAAGCCCTGTCGCCTGACTACTAACTAGAATTGCCACCCATAGCTACACTTCACCCCAAAACCAAAATCCCTTGTATATCAACCTATCCAATCTACCATACTCCCGAAACGTTTCACCCAAAACTTAACCCCATATTACAACCATAACCCCCCCCCCAAAACTCTTGTTCCAAGTCCAAAAGCAGTCCAAAAATGTCAAATCATGCTGGGACTAAACCAATTGAGTTGTTGCACTCGTTGAATACCGCGGGATACCATGAACGCGGACGGTCTAGGGCCAACAAAGGATACGGACAAACCCTGTCAATCACACAATTGGACATCGGGCCTCGAGTGGGGTGCATTGTAAAAGGCCTGTTCCCTAGTAAGTTTTTGACGTTTTGAAGTGGAAACACCCTGAAGGATCAAAAAGAAGGCCGGAGTTGAAACAGATTCGAATCCGAGGCCTAAATTGCGAGTTCGCCCACCCTATTGCCGACCCCAGACAACCCCTTTCGAGGCATACGAGGCTGTAGTAAGCCCGCGCCTAGGTTCAGCACTGGGTGTGAATCACAGAAAGGAAAGCTCTGTTCTCGTAAGATATGTCAAATGCTCTCTGAGTCATAAATGACCTAACAACATACGATGAGATAATTAAGTTTTATTGGTACAAGTTAATATGGAGTACAATGCAAAGAACATGTATGTCAATATTCAATCAAACTATGCGTTCGTAGAATTTCGCCTAGGGCAATGACGTTGAAAATGGCCAGTTTGGTCGCAGTTAAAACACACGACTGTTGCAGGACTTGCAGAATTACTGCCACGACCAGAACGCCAAACAAAAAATTATTTGGCCACAACCAAAACATGCTTACATAGCACGATTACTATTTGGCCACAACTAAAACTAGTTCACATGGTGCCAATTCTTTAACCCCAATCAATACTTATCATATAGTAGAATTATTCTTTGGCTACAACCAACACTAATTCTCATACATAGTGCAATAATTCTTTGGCCACAACCAGTACTATTTCCCATAGTGCAATAATTCTTTGGCCACAACCAATACTAGTTCACATAGTGCGAGTATTCTTTAGCCACAACCAGTACTACTTCACATACTGCGATTATTCTTTGGTCACAACCAATGCTAGTTCACATAGTGCGATTATTCTTTGGCTACAACCAATACTAATGCTCATGCATAGTGCGATTATTCTTTGGCCACAACCAATACTAGTTTACATAGTGCGATTATTCTTTGGCCACAACCAATACTAATGCTTATGCATAGTGCAGTAATTCTTTGGCCACAACCAACACTAGTTCACATAGTGCGATAATTCTTTGGCCACAACAAACACTAGTTAACATAGTGCGATAATTCTTTGGCCACAACCAACACTAGTTCACATAGTGCGATAATTCTTTGGCCAAAACCAATACTTGTTCACATAGTGCGATAATTCTTTGGCCACAACCAATACTAGTGCTCATGCATAGTGCAATAATTCTTTGGCCACAACCAACACTAGTTCACATAGTGCAATAATTCTTTGGCCACAACCAATACTTCTTCACTTAGCACGATAATAGGGACCTTAGGCATGTACACGACGACGACGCGGCTGAAATTCTCCTTTAAATAAATGCTATAGCAAAGTTGTTGTTGTATATTATTAATTGTACAGATTTAGTGAGCATAAGGCGTTAAGAACATTGTGTTTATGTTTAAGGACAATTCTATAGGGCCTGATTCGAGATAGGGCTCGTTGGGTCCTAAAATGCACCCGTTCTAGGCAAGACGTAAAAAACCATGTTTTCCCGTGGTAAACAGAACGAAGACGACGTCTAAAACCTATCATGGGTCTTTAATTATTCATTTCTTTTCAATCACCCATTGTATTGATAGCCGTCGTCGTCGCGTTCGCGTCCTACATGCTTAAGGTCGCTAATATTCTTTAGCCCCAATTAATACTTGTTTACATAACACAATTATTAATTGGCCCCTCCCAATTGCGATTTTCTCATGTGAAACATGCGAGACACTATTAAAACCCGATAACACAATTAAGAACTAAGAAGTAAAACAAACGCGTAAACAATTAAATGCCGTTATACAGGGTGAGTCAGAAAAAAGTCCCCTCTATTGAAATCAAGCCTTTGTTAGAATCTGATTGCCTTAATATTATGATAAACCGAATTGAAAGCAACACGCTTTATTTGAATGCCTCAACCTAATAACTATGCTATTTACACACTACTGCGTTGATCATGCATTCAAATCAACAAAGGCTTCATTTCAATAGGGGGGACTTTTTTTGACTCACCCTGTACAACCCTTATCAGGGGCACTACAAAGTATAACCAGAAGAAAGACGCATATAATTATTTTGATATATACAACGGCATAAGATAACGCAACGTGGCGCTAGGAAAAAACTTAATAAGTGAAGGAAATGTAGGTTCGGCCAAGGTAAAACCTACGGTTTAATAATCGGAAAGCGAGCCAGAATGAGAAGCACAAGGGCCACTAGAGTAATTGCCAGATTAAATTTAGCAATCAAGGAGATCCCCGAAGCGACATAAACCATGAAACAACTACAATCATGGAAATAATATAGGTAGACTTTGCGTTGGACACGCTACATGACCACAGTAATTGTTAAAAATGTTGATTTAACGGTCAATAGCTGCTCCCCCTTCCCCCTTGAACAATGTTGGTAGGTGTGTGATATCACATTGGGATGTCTTTTCAATCAACATGTGTGCTAGGGGGAAGGGGGGAGCAGCTATTGACCGTTAAATCAACATTTTTAACAATTACTGTGGTCAGTAGCGTGTCCAACGCAAAGTCTACCTATATTATTTCCATGATTGTAGTTGTTTTCATGGTTT